TAATTGCGTGATACAAACTCGCAATTCTGACTTTTTTTCTCAGAATTGCATGATATAAACTCGCAATTGCGAGTTAAAAAGTTATAATTGAGAGATATAAACTCGCAATTGCGAGACATAAACTCGCAATTCTGAGAACATATCAGTCTTTTTTCGCCCTCAAAATTGGACTTTAACTCGCAGTTTAGGGGGGGGGGGGGGGTGTTAGGGAACTTACTATAAAAAAAAGATATCTCATTTGACCTGCATGTCACCATTAACCAACATCAATGAACTGTGAATGTGTGAATATGTTTATTAACTTAAAATTGCAGGAAGCACTTCAAATAAATATTTTCAAAGGTTACTCCACCCCAAAATGAAAATGTTGTCATTAATCACTTACCCCAATGTCGTTCCAAACCCGTAAAAGCTTTGTTCGTCTTAGGAATACAATTTAAGATATTTTGGATGAAAACCGGGAGGCTTGTGACTGTCCCATTGACTGCCAAGTAAATAACTCTGTCAAGGCCCAGAAAAGTATGAAAGACATCGTCAGAATTTAATGCAATTAATGACAACATTTTAATTTTGGGGTGGATTAACCCTTTAAGTCAAAGGTTAACAAAAAAAAAAACTAGTGAGTCCCTGACAAAACGTCCACTTGGTAAAAATTGTTCACCCATGCATCTACAACTGGTTCCACCACTAAAAACATGATTTAGACAACTTTACAGCTCAAATAAGACATTTTGTGGATACATAGGCGAATTAACTAAAATACAAGCTTTACATTTCAAATTTCATTGTGCATTGGTTAAACCAAAATTATTTGTCATTATAAAAATCTCACAGTCGCTTGAATCCAGCATTGAATAGCCCTTAAATATATCACTTTCCAGGTTAATCTGCACTTTATTACACCTATTTTCGAATCTTTAGCTGAAACATGCAAATATTGCCTTTTCACCCAGCATGCTCCAGGGAAATTCACCAACTTCACCTCCAGTCACCTCCTTTGTAGCTCTCTTCGGGAAAAGTTCTTTAGTTCTAATAAGGTTCTTTGATGAGTAAGTCACTTCTAAATGAAAGATCCGCTGGTTGATAGCCTTGCGTGTTAGCC